TCCACTCATTTGTGGTGAAAATAAACTGCAGTACATAAAGATATTACTCTGAAATGGTTTAGCAATCTAGACAAAAAGAAAAGAATGTACCAAGAATGGTAAAAAATATATTTTTTGACAAGTATTCTGTTATTTGAAAATGTCGTATTGAAATGTGATCACAATGAGTACGGTTTCAGGCTTATCTAGGGTTAGAGTCAGAAAGCCCATTAAATCGTGGGTTTGATTGTTTATATGCTGGGTTTTCTAATGCCAAATGTGGGAGTTTGCAAACTATAATCAGTTTCTTTCAAACCTTTGCTTTGAGGGCAATTTAGACAAATTTCTGTTTGGGCAATGCATACTACATACCCATATATGTCAGAAGAAAATGTTTAGAAAACACTGAAATATATGTTTTCCTAAATATCATTTGTATCCGAAAACACAGCCATGCCGTTGGAAATTGTCTACCTTTCGTGGGAGTCTTCCCTAATTCTAGCTAAGGGTTTCGCTGAGGAAAAAATACTTGAAAACATATATTTTTAATTGAGCTTTTAGTTAAAATGGTTCTTTGTTCTTTCTCTTTATCTTATTTCTTTACCTTTTATTGTTCTTATTTTATTACAGCTTTCCTAATTTCTATTTATTTCTCTTTCAAGCATGAAATTGACATTTATTTTGCTTTACTGTATTACTGTGTTTTCCTTAACAACTGAAAGTATCTCTCTTAATTTCTAAGATTTTATTTTTACGCTTGGCTTTTAAAGCACTTTGAGCTGCTACAGTATTTGTATGAAAGGTGCTCTATAAATAAAGTTTATTATTATTAGAGTGGAAAATGTACTTCACTGAAATCTTACTCCTAAATGACTTGACAAACCAAGGAGAATGTACAGTAGATTGTCAGCATTTCTTTTTTCTAAATAACAAGATCAGGCTACAAAAAAGAAAAAGATTGATAGAGCCGTCTACAGTGTAACATATAAGAGAGCATTTCTATCAGCAATTTTAAATGCAATTTAAAATGTTTGTTATGCACTCAGTTTGAAATGTCAACGCGTGAGTTGAGTGTGAATTAAGACCTTGTGTCACCTGAATAGTTTCTTACACATTCTTATCTAAAATGTTTTGACACTCAACACTTTCCTACAGAATCGTGACTTTCAAAAACTGAGACTGATATTGCTTTTTGTTGGTAACTGTCTTTTAAAGAAAATAAAAAATGTTTTACTTTCGGTGACTGAGCAGCATTCAGAATAGCAGATGAAAATGCAGATTGGGGATTTCTGAAAAGGAGAAAATGCTTTCATTTCAAATGAGAAATGCAATTCTGCAATACCTCAGTTCCCTCAGAACAAGCACAAGATCTGGGCTGTCCTAGTTTATTTCAATTCCACATCTGTACACTGTCGCTGGACTCGCTTCACAATCAAAACAAGTAGCACGCAACCCTCATTTTGTGAAATGCTCAGCATATCTACAAAGAAGAGTGGCTTCTTGTTTTCCGTTTATGAACGCTGAGAACACGACAGTGTAGTCTTGAGTCAGGAGGTTTACCACTGGGGCTGTGGGAGTTTGCTGCTACTTCTGAAAACGATGAAATTCAAAGGTTGCAGATTGAGTGCACGTCCCAGTGCTCTGCACTGGAGCACAATGAACTTAAAGTGGGACAGGGGAGACTGTGCTGCAATGACAGATAGAGCAGCACAGCAATGCCATCGTGGGAACAAAGATTAAAAACTCAAGGGAGAAAAAATTAATACTGAGCAGCACCTGACTTTGCTGAAGAAGCATTCAGGTCAAAGAACCAGTTTTTCATTAAACACTGCATCTGTAAATACTGTACATGCTGTACATGCTGCAATTTGACTTAACATTTAAACTAAATCCATCTTATTTTCAAAATGCTTTAGCATAAATCAAAGAGAGTTCTGCAAAATCTTTTACAAACTGGCAGGACTGAGGGCACATAAGGGTCCCTTGATGTTTTGAGACAGCCTGACTGGTGGCTTGTATTTGAAAATCAGATCCTGTTCCGGATGAATATTGGCTAAGTTAAAAAAAAATCAACAGCTCATACAATGGGCTCACCAAAGCAGTCACTTACAGTACCACTACACCTTTTCCTTTAAAGGTTCAATTTTTAAATCTCCTACTGAAAAGCAAATTGAATTCATCCTCTCTGCTGGCAACCGTGGTGAGGCTATGATGAAAAAAAATGATGAAAAAAATGACTTTTTATTCCCTGTTATTCTCTGAAATGTCTGTTATTTAATACTATGTTTGTTCTGGCATTGATCTTTTGTAAGTTCTTATATACAGTACATATTCTTCACGCTTTTTAAGAATGGCCTTTTTGTGGCATAGGGGATGATGACAGGGTATTTCACTATGTTTTTCACAAGACCTTAAATAGTTCACTTGATAGAGTGTTGCTGCACTTAAGTATAAGGAATGCGATCTTATCCCTGCCAGCCACTCCTCTGCAGTTCTGGCAGAGCGTACGTTCAATGCCAAATGAAAGTACAGGATTCACAGCATTGCACTCCCATGATAAAGACAAAGTTTGCCACGTTTCATACTTTACCATGTTACACAAATCACACACAGCACTCTGTAATAAGAGAAGTATATATCTACTCTTATATAAACCATACAGATTGTGCCCTGTCAATCAGCAATAGTAACAATAAGCAATACAATACTTCTGGTTACATGTCTTATTCACGAGCCTTTAGAAATATAATGTATAGGAAATAACTGATTTGAATGTGTTTAAAAACATTAATATTCTGTCTTGTATAGTACAGATATTCAAATCAGTTTTTGAACACTGTTAATTGTCTGTACACATTGTAAAAGGTACTTCAGCTAAAAATAATTCCAATTGCATTCTAAAAGTCAAATTTCATGTCTCCATGACAGATGTCCAACAGATATTAGAAACAGATAAACTCTTTAGTGGTTTCACAAGTGTATATTTATGAATGTTTCATTCGTAACATTCTTTCTAATGTGAAGAGAAAGCATCTACAATGCAAAGAGAAAAGGTTTGAATGAAAAGGGCACACCTGGGCATTACAGTATATTTGCATGTGTGAAGTATGAACGACAGTCCTGATTTTCCTTCTCATTTTGTCAACGGTTTGTATCGTTCATGGGGAGTTATGAAGGTGAAACTTTTTGTTGAGGGTTCTTCTTCAAAATATTGGAATTTAGATTTTATGTTGATGCTCATTTTAATGTTGATTAGAAGAAAAAGTGAATTTTCTAATTGCAGAAAACTGCACAGGATTGATAGCTATGCGATAGTTTTGTCTATTTTTCAAGGGGAAAGGCAATGTACAAGAGTTTTAAAAATGACCTGTAAATGACAGAGAGCCAAATGTTTTCCAAATATCTCTCTTGTAAACAAGATGTTTGGGCAATTAAACAGGTCATAATTTCATTGAAGATTCCAGAATGGATTTTGGTGAATGATGAAGGAGAAGGAAAGTTATCTAGACCAGTCTCTGAATTTTGTCAACAAGCATTTCCACTGCAAGACACAAACACTTACCAAGTGTTTCTGTGCACATTCTTTCACAGACAAAAAGACGAAAACATCAGGGAAAACTAGAAATGCATTTGTTTGTGCTTTAGGACTTGTGGAAACTTCAGATGTCTCACAAACTGCTTCCTGTTGTTTCTGCAAGATGGTACAAAGCCAAGCTCATTAGCTTAACAAACCAGCAGCTCGAGAGAATATGATTGGTACATCTTACTCCATGATCATTCATGAATAGAACTAGCTGCACACACTTCCAAAAAATGTAACTTAATTTTGATAAAGTCAAGAATAGCTCAGTAATCCCTTTGCCTCTCGTGGGCAACTATTGAAGATAAGTCACCCTCTTAATCCCTGCATTTGTTCAGCTGCAACTCTTAGATTACATTTTTGAGGATACTGAATTAAAGGTTATGCCACACATGAGATAAAGCACATACTGTATAGGCTGGAAGACGATGCTAGACAAAGAGATGCATGGAAAGAAGGATAGACAGGCATACAGAAATATCTGTAGTTAAACTTACTTGTGCAGTGCACTGGGTGGCAGTTTTGTTTTCTCCATTTGTCCATAGCAGCTCGTCTTTGCTTCTGGTATGTCACCAAACTCCTCCAGCATAGAGGAGGCTGCAGTGGTTATAATTCCAAGGCCATCCCGGACACGAGCCTCAAGAGGATAGTCCCATTCGTCATAAGACACCGAGATCATTCCTGACGGGAACTCATTTGGGGTGACTTCGGTGTTTCCAGTGGTCAAGCTGGGAACAATCCAGATAAATCCATACCCCGTTAAACCCAAAGAACGTGCCTCCTCCAGAATATAAACTGCTTCATCTTTTGAGCAATACAGTAAGATGACAGACGACTGGATCTTCTTCAGCTGTATCTGGGTCTTAGTATCCCCATCGACGGCATCCAAAGTAATCGTGTTCTGTAAATCCCATCCAACAAAACTGTTGTCCACAGTGCTTTTGAGGATGCTGATAAAATCCTGATAACCTGGGAACTTGCTAGTCACTATAGAAAAGACATGCCAGTCGTATTCTTCCATGATGTTGAGCATGAGGAGAGCTTCTTGTTGAATGGAAGCCCCAAATTGAAAGAAAGTTGACTTCTGGTCCTGAAACAAAAATAGAAATAGTGATCAAAATAATGGACTTTAAATTTAAAATGTTTTAAAAGTCAATATTGTATTCAATAGCAGGCACTGCTTAAAACCAATGTTTCTTACCCAAAATTGGACATAGAAATAAAATGTGGAAAAAACAAAATGCTTTTCAACCCATGATTAAATTAAATACCATTTCCTATAGTTTGTCTAGGACAGATTAGTCCTAGTTCTAAATCAAAGATTGATTTCTTGTTTAAACAACTGGATTTTCAACTGGATTTCTTTTCAGTGTGAACTGGATTTCTGAAGATGACCTAAACAGCTACAATGTAAAAACAAGTAAGCAAGGGAAGATACGTTTACTAACTTAATGAATCAGTTTTGTCGTGTATTTTAAATATATTATTTTTACAATTGTATCTGTTGTTTTGTCATCCAGTTAAGGCATTGCAATGAGCACTTGCACAGCTTTTTCTCTTGTGATTTTCCTCAAATAAAAAAAAAACATTAATCGTCATCTTAACATCCTTTTTTAAACAAATGAGCAGTCTTGCTGACAAAAATGTCATAAAAAACTTCCAGCAGTATGTTTTGAATAATGAAGTGATCATGCAGTGAACCAGCAGTGATTGAATAATGTATTATTGTAATATACTATATAATTATATGTTCTTTAGATGTACTAATAAGTTTCTAAAATGTATCATGATTCCTGCAGCAGATGATTCACTTAGTGTATCGATTCAGTTGGCATTGTTTATTACTGTAAGAACAGAGAAACACAATTATTATTGAACAAGATTATGTGAATAACCGAACTTGTTCCTGACAAGAGATTGATCTCTTTTTCAAAGACAACTCGATTCTTTTGCATATGAAGAAATTGAAATCAAGATTTCTGGGTTTAAAAGTCATTCGATGTCCACAAAAAAAAACATGATACTGTCTAAAATAACTCCATCGCTTGCTAGTCAGGCTCTGCAATGAGCGTTTCCTCCGCTGCGAGTTTCAACATGAAACTCACAGGAGAGCTGCTCCCGCAGCAAGTGAAAGAGCAGAGTGTAGAGACTGTCCCTCCCCCCCCCACAGCTGGAATCAGACTACTGACAACAATTTCAGAACCTGACTCGCTCAAGTCAAAAAGGAGTCAGTCCCTAAGAAAAATGATAACACACGTCAACGTCCACTTCACTTGGAATAACTCTCATGATTCCCGACTATTCTTCATTTCAGCTCATTATTTACGCTCACGGTGTCATCTGAGGAATTTAGTGTCGTGCTTTAGAATGACAACATTAAACTGTGCCACACTCTTTCAGCTGATGTGCTCTTACAGGTAGGAATTAGCACCGGGGATTTGGAATTCTTGGTAACAAGAACGACGTTATAAAGAAATCACAAAAGGAAATGTTGCACGGCCGAACACGCTAAGCATAGCATTGTAATTTAAGACTTTTTTCCCCTTGCATTTGTTTTGATTTATGTTTGAAAAAAACAAACTGCTGTGCGTGCTTCATAGTTTCAGCAGTTTACGATGGCAAACAGCTTACTGTTGTCAAAGAACCAAAGGCAGAGCAGCTAAAGAGCCTCTCTGGCCTTTCCTGACATTTTAACATGACTGTGTTTAATTAATAACAAATAATTGTCATTCATTCAGTGTGCGACAGGGAACCACTCAAAAACGCATGCATACTGCATATTTTATTCATTTTTGCCACCCTGTCAACAGCTTCCCTGCTGGTTGCACATCTTACTTAATGATCATCATATGCTGACAAAGCTGTCATCATTCCATCAAGTTCAAATATTTGTCAGGCTTTTTCAAGGAACCAACACGCTTGCAACAGTGCTCATAGTTGGGTGGCTTATCCTATTTCACGACAAATTCACTTATTTACATAATTTAATACAGTACAAGACAAAAAGCTGACTGTATGTTAAAATATATATATACATATTTTAAAATTATTTTTAGCTGAAAGAGTTACACTACAGTACATGTAACTTATTCAACTTTGGTACAGTACTTTATTGTAAGTATTGTATGAATAAATACATCAAAATCAGTTACATGGGTCTGTGACAGAGACACAAGATCTATGAGGTAAATATCGAACGACAGTCTTGGAGACGTTGCAGCTTATGGCTAGTTATTTGAATATTCCCAGTTGCACTCCTTAGACGTTAAATATCCTCAACAACCACTTTTCTGACTGCATATATGGGTAGAACCTTCTTAAGTCTTCTGGGTGAAGACGCAACCATCCCATTGCCTTGAACTATTTAGTGATAGACACCACAGTTAAACGTGGATTTTTTTTTATAGCTATAGCTGGAGCTTAATCTTTCACATGATGGTGTGATACTTTATGACGCGGTGAATTTCTGTAAGAAACTACCAGATGATTAATAACGGGACTAAATCTAAAGCATTTTCACAGGGGATGAATAAGTTTGAACAGTGCATTTCGCCATTGATATGTTCAGTAATTGCACGTTTTTGTCACACTTGCATTCTTAAAGGTTAAAAAACCTTTATGTACCTGTACACTTGCATTTTTAAAGCAACTTGTAGTGCAGTTTATGTAGAGCTTGTATGCACTGGAAGGCTACTGTATTTTTTAAACCAGTTTGCAAAAAGGACTTTATTAGATGCAAAAGATGCCATACTCTGGAGCTCTTCCTAGATAGTTTTTTTTTTTATTTGGCAGTAGATTTTGCAGTCAGGCTGCACTATTGTGGGAGCAATGTCTGTCTTATGGGTCACTGGGTGTCCCACAACCTGTCGTCCTGAATCAGTACTAAGAGCCTCTGTGCTGAACAACAGAAGCTTAGCTGGAATCCACTCTCGACTTGCACCCCATGCAATACAACAGGGGTTGGAGTTTAAGAGCTTTGATGGTAAAACTAATGAAGAGAAACAAATTACAGCTGCACTCTGTACAGTACAGTACGTTGATAATGAAGAGATTTGGGGAAAAGCACCTAAAATGTTGCACAATAGATGATTCTGTCTCAGGAATTAATAAGCCAAATTCATGCATGAAGGTGATAGGAAGGGTTTTTTTTTTGTTCCTAACAAGTTACCATACAATGTAGCACAGAAGGTTTTCAACTTTTTTCCTCTGGACTGCTTGGTTGCTGCTCCTTCTTGGAGTATAACTGAAGTGCTGTACAACACTCTCTGCACATTCGTTAAAGGTTGTCATCACTGACAGCCTTCATGCTTCAGATAATTTATTTATTAGGAAGGTATTTAATAAATAATTGGGGCCATGTGGGCACCAGTGATTGAATTTTCTTTTTAACATATGTTGACGGGCTGAATGATTCCACAATTCGTTAAAGAGAACATTGTCTTCTCATTAACTCCTAAAATGTTCCCAATTGGTAACATGACAGTGTCCTCCAACTTTGATTAAATCTAGATTATTTTACCTATGTTCCGTCAGGAGACTCATTTAGATAAGTCCCTGTGGTCCTCTTAGTTCAGTTCTATTCCCAGATTTAATAATAGCAGAACTGATATCCATCATCTAATTAATGTTAATAACTGTGGCACAATAACCTCAACTCTATTATGGTAAATTATGCTAGATTCGATTATAAAGTACTATTCATATTTCTTATGTGTATACACTGCAAATAAAATAATTCAAAGAGGAAGTCAATAAGAGGTACGGTCAATATGTAAGAAAACAATTTGACAATTTGTTGAAATATGCAATGTTCTTATGTCATACTACAAAGCTTTTCTAGAACCTTAATGACCTCTTCACAAAATCATAGTAGAGATACAAAAACACATTTTCCCAAAATTATCACTAGTTAACGGTTTCTCCGCTAAATAAGCTTACCTATCAAAAGAGTTTGGCTGTTCTTCAGGGACAATATTTTTAGCCCTGAATTTCAGCAACATTTACATTCAGAATCACTTAACCTCTTCATCAGGCTTGAGGTAAGGTCCTGAACATTTTGAATACTATGCCTTCTGCTAATTGAAATTTGATTGAGCTTAATTAACATTCATTAAAAAATGTGCTCAGCTGGAGCCAACACAAGGTAATTAAGCCTTAAAGATACTCACATCAAGCAATTTCTCAACTTGTGATTGAATTTTTTTTTAATTTGCCACTGAGAATAGGGAAGCAAATTAAGCACCTACTGCAGCATGAGGATATAACTGCAGCTGAGCGGTGGAAAAGCACATGGAAAAAGCTCATCTTCAGGGGAAACAAGAAAATGAGTCTGTAGATCACTTGAAAAGGTGAGTTTTTAGTGCTGAGAGCAAAGAGCCTGGGCCATTCCTACACAAGTGGGTTTTGCCTTGAAGGAAAAAACAAATTGGAAAAAATGTCCAGATTTCTAATAGACTGCTTTCATTGATGTGTAATCTTAAACGCTTAAACGCTTAAAGTAAAATTATATAATAAAAATCAGATATGACACAAACCTGTTGAATTATTAGCATCTGAAGACCGTTATTACAAATGATAAAAGTTTATCACCCCATTAAGGCCATGTGGCAGTGGCATTGCTAAGCGCCTGGAACAAATTCAGATTTTAGTCTTAAATTTGCATATTTTCGCAAAAGGGGAGGTACTATATATTTTTGTGGGTGTGATGCTGAATAATGATGGTATTGTCTCAATTACATTAGCAGAATTCACTCTTTGACCCCTGTTTGCTTGTCTGAAGCACTGGAAAAATAGGAAAGGGAGAAAACAGCTACTTTGCATAATGAGAAAGAAGGCTGGTGTATTCCTGCTGTTATAGCCAGTAATGCTCATTAAAAGCTGCATAGCAGGATGCAAAGTTTAATTGAGAAATCTACCTAATTGGATTATTTAGCATGAAACATAAATGTAAATAGTTGCTTGGTGATTGCTTGCCTGAGCAAAACAATCACGAGGAGTCTTTGTTTTGGTACAACACATTCTCAGCGCATGCCTTCAAAGGAGCAGAGGCTGAGAGAATGGTGACATTTGACTACCATTCTGTCACATCAAGCTTCACTTGATGTGGAGTTCCAGTGTTTCAAACATCTGTTTTTCTGGCAGTTCCTTGATCTTTTTTTTTTTTTTTTTTCTGTGTGTTTCAGAATTGCTGTAATAACTAAGGAAATCCATACCTTACTCCAACTAAGAACAAAATAATATTAAGTTTAAGTGATTATTTTAAGCGCTAAGTATCAGGCTAGCCCCTGCCTCCTGCTCGGCAAGGTCAGCTAGCATTGGCTTGGAAACCAGGCTCTGCTCCACCCACCTGTCACTCAGTGCCAGTTGCCATGGACACCAACTAACCAGAAACCTGATTCACCTGGAGACAATTAATGTCTCGCCTGTCGGAGTGATTCAGGACTATTTTAGGGCTGCCCAGAGTCTGCTTTGGGCTCTGATATAGAGTTTGAACTCGTTTTCTCTAGTTTGTTCCCTAGCTTTGCTTCAGATTCCTGACCTTGCTTTGTTCCCTCTTCCACATTCTTGGATCCTGCCTTGTTTAGACACGATCCCCCAAGTAAAACCTGGATCACCAAACTCCTGGACCTTTCTCCATTGTTATGACTTCGCACTTCCCTGCCTGCAATCTCTGCTTTGCTTGTTAGACCACCAGCTCGCCACTGGCCTTGAACTTTGACCTGCATGCAGCACTGCCCCTGGGCCTCATCCCCCTCTCTCCTTGGAAGAGGGATTCTTGTGACTCCCAGTCCACCGCTAGCTCCACTGAGCGGCAGGAGCGTTACACTTACCAATTAAAAATAAAATCCTTGATATTTTATTAAAGAACTTTTCCCAATTTTTGAAAGAATTGCAAATCAGGCCAAGTCCTTGAATGTGTTCTGGTTTAAATTTAATTGGATTATTTACAGTGAGGCTATTTGTTTTGATTTATGAAAGAAAAAGTGTCATAAAGTTCACATAAGCAAGGAAAATTCTTGGGTATACTCAATTAAGCGAAATGATTACATGTTCTATTATGATTAATAACAGTTGATACTGCAACCGTACGTAAAGAGTTGCTTTAATTTATGGGATTTGCTTAATTTCCTTGCGAGGCTAAAATCCTCTGTTACAGCAATGTCAAATCATCTTCCTAGTGCAGGAATTGCATACCAGTGAATTCAGTCATTGTGTGCACTGAAATGTACAGTAGATACTCCTAAATACAGAAAATATTCCACTTCTCAGAATCCTTTTGAAATACTTTAAGAGCCGCCATTGGCATTTGATGGGCATGGGTGAGCAGGGAAAAATTGATCTGGAATACATTTGTGGCCGTTATGCAAAGCAGTCACCCCTGCCAAGGCTCATCGTAGCACTGGCTCACACGCTGCTGGCTCTGCTCATCTTTTGGGAAATCAGTCTTCATGTTTGCGAGATGCACACTAGCTCCAGTGAACCATAATTTTGGTCCATTTCTTTTTTTTTTTTTTGTCCTCTTGTTGCACGGAGCCCTGATTTCCTGAGCAGAAGCTGCCCTCCTTCATGGTGGATGAATGAAGAGCTGCACTCGTGGAGCCAGAACATTTTGACCAGCTGGTAGCGGATTGAGCAAGCAGCTGCAGCACAGTCCCCAGAAGGAGGAAACTGCCCTTCCTCTCAAGGAAGTCAAGCCATTCGCCAAGCCTGACTGAAGCTGAAGATGGACAGATTGCTTTACTGTACTGCACAACCTGGGAGGCTAATTCTGTAACAGAAGGGAAGAGATGAGACCTGCAAATGGTGGGCCCAACACACAGGCAGTTCTTAAACAAATGACAATGTGTGAAAATAACTAACCATGCTTAAGGGAAGAAAAGTGAAAGATTAACTGATATACTGAACGAGCAGTGCATGCCCAAAGAGTTTACAAGAAACACATACAAAGATATTGCTCCGAGAAAAGAAATGCTTCTTTACCGCTTACTTAAATTTCAGTTTTTGCTTCTCGATACCATCTTTCAACGTAGTCCTGAATTAAACTGCCGCATCCACATTGCATTTATAAAAACCACTAGTCTAAATTTTCAGTATTCTCCCACCTTGACATAAGTGGAAGCAAAATACTTTCTTATTGTGACGTTTAAAAACGCAACAACCAGGAAAATGTGATTCATTTGGGTTTATCCAGAGGACGTAACACCTGTGTGAATGCAGGGTCGCACTTTTAGGTCACCCCGGCACCAAGTCATGTTTCAACATACGAACTCTTTATGGACGACTGTCAGTACATCTTGCCCCTAATTAACGGGTACTCACCTCATCACTCCAGGTATTTAAATCCTGCTTCTGCTTCACTCCAACACTTAGTCTTTGGGTTTCCTCCCTCAAGTCAAAAACAGTCCCTAGCTGCGCTTCTCCACTATTCAAGTCTCAGGTTTATTGCTGGCTTTTCTTCTTTGCTGACCTCCCCAGGTCAGTGTATATTCAATTGAAAATAAAGCAGCAGCAGGCAGGCAGAAAAGTAGCATGTCAATGAGCTCTCCTGCCTTACCGCTGCAGGGGTTTGGCATTTGCATGTTATCCTCAAGTCCACATGTGGATGCTTCAGTTTTCTTCCACAGTTAAAAGATTAGCTGACTGGATTTGTTTGATGAATGTACAGTAAGTTGTCCTCTTCTCTATGGTATCTTGTCCAGGGTCCAGCCCAGCTTTGCACCCTGGCATCAGTTATAGCCCTCAGGAAGATAAATGGCTCACTTATAATGGAAGGAAAAAGCATCATGGGATCATGACTATAAGGCCTAAATGACTGTATAGAAAACATATTAGCATGAAGTGTTTTCTTAAACTTGGATTGGACACTGAACTGAGTCTTTAGTTGACGTTCAGGTTCTCCCTCTTGTGCATTTGAAACATGAGTATATCAGCAACAAAAATGAGCTGATGCTGTTACACAATCTAGCTTTTTATCCCATTTCTTCCAGTGAAAATCAATCATCGGGGCAACAATTGACTGATATGTACAGAAAGAACCCCAGACTTCTGGATAAGTCATGGTTTCTCAGTTGTTCTGTACTTTTTACTGTATTTTGAGTCACGTGACCAGGGTGTCCTCCGTGCATGGACATCTGAGTCCTTTCACAGACAAATGAAGTAAGATGTTCAGGTCAGCACTAACAGGAAAGATTTTGCAATCCGGAATGGTGGTAGATTTTAATTAGTTTTTTCATTCTAATAAAAGGTTGTCGGAGACATCAATTCACAGGGGAAGACCGCTTCCCTGAAGTACTTTTTATTTCAGTCTTCATTTGAAACCCCACAATTTTTCAGCGTTGAAGGGTCTCTGAACTTTACAACGAAACACAAGCCCCTGATTTCTCCTGAGTAACCGAGCATCTCACAATCTTCCATGCACAATAATTCTATTATCTCAGAGATTTACCAACTAAAAACCTGAGAGGCTCTTTTCTTTCTAGTGCCCTGCCTGCAGCGCAAGGCATGCCTGATTAGATGAAAAGGTTGCAATGCAGAGATAATCAAGAATTCAACTCAAGAAATGAGAAGATGCTGTATTCTTTGGTGAAATAACAAAAAAATTCTGGATTGCAGCTTGTCAATAGTTGAATTCACACTAGAAATACAGCAGCACAGACAGTATTCAGTTCACCACAGAGTATTGAAAAGACAAATAACAGCCAACCAAGTCAATCAGAGTTAGCTGTTCTGCAAAGTATCACCGAAAGGAAGATTACTCATACTTCTTAATACTATTTACAATTACTTTTCATTATAGCAAAGTGAGAGACAGTTTCCGTTTTTATAACTGTTTCACAATAGTACCCAAGAACACATACAGAAATAGGAAGATAACTGTTAATGTTCGAAACTATAGTACTTGGCAGATTAGTCCTTACCAAGACCTGCAGCTCAATTAACTCACTGCTTTTCAGAGACATAACTGATATATCTCATACTCGGCTACAGCTCATTTTCAGGTCTTCGGCAAATGCACCAGCTCTGAACTTTTTTACTCCTTCTCCAGGTGAATTGAGCATCAACTCAAGGACACAACTGGCCAAGTCGCAAACTGATCCTGTCTGATGGAAGGCCTTTAAACAAATGGTTTCATCACTCTGGCAGTCCTGATTCTGAGCCGTTTTGCCATTTAGGATAATTTTTTTGATGACAGTTCCCTCTATTTTTATGGGCCTCAAAGATAGAGAGACGGTGACAAAGCAAAAGAAAGAAAGAAAAAATGTGAGGAGATAGAGGAGGAAAGAGATAGTATAAGGAAGAAAATTTCACTGCCTCAAAAGCAATTTTCCCCTGATTGATGAAACAGAGTTTGAATTTCTATTCAGTGTGTGTTATAGCGATAATTGGGCTGTCCTCCAACAAAGTCAGACTGGATTATTTCAAGTCCTGCATTCACTATAAGACTGCCCTTATTTAAGATATGACATTTTATTCGTACTCAACCGAACAGAAAATGGTTCCTGTGTGTTTCTGGTGTAACAGTGATGATAAAACAAGTGTTCTCTTTACCACCCATTTACCAAATGATAAAAATCTTTTTGATTAGGAAAGGGGGTCTCTTATTATATTATTATTATTATTATTATTATTATTATTATATTACCAATATTTTCTACAGGTTTAAAAATGGTAGATGGTTTCTTTCTTTATGTAAATGTGGGGAGTTCCGCTGATGTAGATATTTAAAAAATGGCATGACCCATCAATGCATAGAATAGGGAAATTACACATTTATAGAACAACCCCAGGGACAAGTATGGGAAAGATGAGACACATAAAATGTATATACTGTACATAGTAGAACTCTCTTGGACAAATTGAAAATACAATTGATAGCAGATGACGGCTAAGACAAAGCTGTCATTTTGGCTCAGTAAGAAAATAACCTTAGCTTACAATATATCATTTCAGTAATTCTTCATTTCCTACACTGAAGTCTGTTATACATTATAAATAATTTGTATTCCTATGGGTTGATCTCTTTGATCTCTGCAGAGATTTCTTTTGTTTTGAATCGGCATTGGTAGTCATTGTTAAAATGTTGTAAAAAGGAATATTAAATTCCAGATCAGAGATCTGATTATGTTTGTTAATTATTAAACAATTAAACAGTCAGGATTCAGTTAAATAGAAATCACAAACCACAGCAGTGCACAAAAGGATAATATCTAATTGACCTACAAGAGGTAAAAGTGAGACAAAATTAGAACAGCAGCAACTACTGACAACCAATGACTTTTTTTTTTTAAACCCAAACAGCCTAGGTCTGAGGACAGGCAAGATCACAAAGAGAAAGTCCTTCACCATACCTGATCTGGCATACCTAACTATTTGTTTACTGTGCCGTTGTTGTTTTTCTGTCAGGACTTTTTAACAAGCATTGAAATCCCCTAGGAAACAACTAACTAAAACTGAGAAAGTTTCTCTGCTCTGCTTCAAAAGCTTGCAGCTCTGTTTGTGAAAGGGCTTTTTCCCCCCCAACAACTCTTTCTCTATGAAATATCTGCAAAGATCCTTTGTGTAAGACAAACATGGAGTATTAGGCCATTTTATATGGCACTGTGAGTGCTTCCATCATTACCAAATTGTCAGCATTATGGGCCTGCAGATTAGTAGCTATTTTTCTTAATGTAGTGAAGTTTTTTTATTCTACACTGTTTATTAGACTTGCAACTTCCATTCACATCAAGGTGCTTTTTATTCCAATAATACACACTAATAAGGATATTTATCTGCCAAAGCACTCCGTGATCACCTTGTAGTGCACAGCGGCACATTTGCATATCAATTCAAATGCTCAGAGGTTTACACAAGAGGTAAGTCTGCTGTATATAAATATTTATTATTCATATAGACCTTAAATAACAGTACTTTCTGTCAGCTTTCTGAAATGCTGAAAGCCAGAGGAATTATATCAGAGCAACGGAGTAAAAGATGACTGCAGTATTTTAATAAAATCATTTCCACAACAAGCTGCTTAATTAATTTTACAAAAGCAAACACTCAGCATAAAAGTAAAAATACATGCTTAGGATGCAAGACTTTCTTGCAGACAAAAGTGTCATAGATAAAGGCCGTGTCTACTGAAGGCATGTTCGTTTCACAGAGCCCCACAAGGAATTAGCATGAAACAAATGAAGCAAACACAAAGCTAGAATGAATAAATTAAATTTTGTTCACTGAAGGGTATCTGGCTTTTTGCTGATAAGTTTTGCTATTTAGTTTTGATTGGCTGCCAGAAAACACTAAAGAGTAATTGGGACTTGTCTTAGTTCACCAGACAAATACCACCCCTGGGAAGTTTTTATCAAGCACTTCAAGTCATTGACAAGCCAGGCCTGTCAAACTTCACCTGATGGAAAAAGACAGAAAATAGACAACAAGATGCTGAGAAATACGGTAACGATGACAGTAGACACCAGAGCTGCTTCCAACTTTGGAAATTTAAAGGTCACTCTCACCTGATGCCTAACACAGTACATGAGTTACAAATTGCATTCAGTAATGTCTACCCTGGAAGATGCGAGTTAGGAAAGTAGCTTTGATAGATGCACTATCTGCAGGCCAAATTAACATTCCCTCTGACACTTGTAAACCACTCTATCTTTAAGGTCATAGCTGGATGGAAGTTAACTCTTTAACTCTAGGATTAACAGAACAAAACAAGAAAAGATACACACAATACTTCAGTCTGAGATGCCAGGGATCAGCGAGGAATCTTTTAAGCTTTTCGATTAAAATGTTATCAGCAGAAACATCAGAGGACACACCAGACAAAAGTTTTCTAGATCTTTTGTTTTGAAAAATTTCTAGATCCAAATTCAGTAAGACACGACATTGACTGGGAAATGATAAACGCGTTTAATAATTCATTTTGCCCAAACGCATTTTACAAAATTAATTAATTAGAATTCAAGCATTCATTTTTCCACGGGAGCAAAATTCTTAGAAAGTGATTCCAGGGAATGATCTCATATAGAAGTTCTCATGTCAAGATGTCAGTGCTTAGACTCAATAAACAATTTTATTTGTCAGTGCATAATTTAGTGCTTTAATCAAGTGACAGCTCGGGAATTATGGAGAGACGTATGGAAAGATCATCACCAATCAATCACTTCTTTGGCTCTCAGCCGTCACAGAAAGATGTGTTCAGTTCAGATGATCTGTCTGGGACAGTGCAGAAGAGCCAATCAAAAAGACCTCTGGCTGGTTTGTGGTACAGTATGAACACCT